GACAACTAGATTAAAAGCCTGAAGAGTACTAATTCGCTTCAACGACCCGAGTAAAGTAGGTTCAACAGGAACCAATGGGAGCGAAGCCAAATGAAAGGAGCGAAATTCATTCAATCAGATCGGTATCAGATTGAACTTAGTGGGGCCTCGCATAGTTCGACAGTTGATCGGGACACAATGACCTTTTCAGAAGAACATGATGGTCGAAAAAATCTTCGCGTATTGGGCAACTTTTGCATCGTTCCTATACTAAGCATCATTCAGATATCGAAAGTGAAAGGTGTGAAACTCCATCCCATTACATCAGCTCAATTTACCTGGGCGTGTAGATTTGCAGTGTATTGCATACAACAACAATAAATAAACATGATATTTTGTCTTTTCCAAAGATGATCGGTAATATTTCTCTATCACGAAAACGTTACAGGAGTTGATCCAGTGTTTGTCACCGATGTTGCTGGTCAATTGGGAGCAGGTCGTAACGCGAGAACGAAAGAGACCTCTTGCAGGGACTAAAAATGAGTGAAGAAGTTATGAGTACCGCAATGGATCAACGATCTGATGCGGTTGTTGAAGACTTCCATTTCCAAAAAGTTTAAATAAGATTGGCAAGAAAAATCAAAGGACGAGAGTGAAGACTAAATCCACAATTCCAAAGTGAACCTTCGAAATTTTTTCCCCACAGTAAGAATTCATCGAAGTATGGCAACTCTTCGAGGCGGATAAATCGGTGTCACGCGTAAATTTGCTACCAAGTGGTGTTGGAAAATATTTTCACACTGGCCTACAGTCTGTTGTATCCAATCTTATGCAGTACTCGATATCCTGATTAGAATCCTTATACAGAAACTGGGGAATGGAAAAAATACCAAAATGAGATAAACGTTTTCCAGTGTTATCATGTTCCGAGGCTCGGCCTTTTCTTACATTAGCACGAGTTCCCTGCGCTGTAATCCATTACTGTGACCGATTCTACACGGAACACTAGTTTCCTTATTCAAGCACCCTTCCCTCTACTCCTTTTACACACTCACTTTCCTTGAGAACTTCGGATGGTAATTCCACCCTTCTCTATCGCGTCCGGTCTGAACTAGTAACCAAGTCTCACCGAGTCATCCTCCATCCTTTTTCGCGCTTTCACAAAGTCACATTTATTGTGCGAACTCTGATACGTATAATACAAAAGACGAGTTTTGCTCGTACGCTCAAGAACCAAATCATCGATGTGTGCTGTATCCAATAGGCTTGAACATATATATATATATATATATATATATATATAAATGTATATGAAATGTCTACCAAAACAACAGAGTGGCAAGCAAGCTCGTTTTCAGACATTCGTATTTATGTCAGTACATCTCAATATGTATCACCACTTGGGAATAAAACTGTCTTCGAAAAATAAAATCACATCATCGATTGCTACAGACGATTTCATGAGACCGGAAATCGGATTCACCACGATCACATAGTTGTCTTTCCATTCGTCCGATTATCGAGATTACTCGTGATAAGATAGTGTGTGTGCGGTAGACCTGGGAAGCTTTAGTGCTAGCACCAATTGTTTTTGCGCAATCAGGGATGTGTTTCTTCAAAAGCTCTTCGTTGTGCTCAATCACCTGTGTGCTATGAGGTTATCTTAATTTGATACCTTTAGGGAGCAAATTAACCACTAGTGCTAAACGCGATTCGCTGGTCCAAAAGCTATTGTCAGAATACAGTTTGCAGAAACAAAGCGATTAAATCGAATACAGACCGGGTAGTTAGAAAGCAGTTTGGAATAACTTCTGCATATTGTCGTAGACGCCACTACAGATTTGGTCACGAACTTCAGTAATTAAAAGGTTACCTTTCTGGACGCGAACTATTCTCCGCCATCGAAAAAACCTCTTTATCAACTTATTGATCAATGGAAGCCTCGAATCAATGCCCATGGGTCTGATATGAAACAAAATGGTCATCCGATAAGTCTATGGCACGAGTGATGAGATAATTAGATGGTATAAATGAGAGCATGGTAGCGGTGCAAACGAACAAACATTGAGCCAACGCTTCCTAATCCTAACACCAGGGGTGATACTTCACAGTCTTTGTTGAAAGGTAGGTGGAGGCATGAGTGTGAATGTGTAAAAGTCGTTCATGACCAATGGGCTACGAAAACCAAAAAGGAACCAGGTTCGGGGATCAAACTATGAGCGATTCGGAAGAGTGATCGTTTAACAGGTTGGTGCGAGATTCGAACACAGATAGTCAAATTACACACAACGAGCAGTTATGTTGGGTGAAAAAGAAACGGTAAAATTGGAAAATGAGAGGACAATTTTCATCGTTTACAGATGACAAAAGTCAATACAATAGAATGTTAGATACTCCTCTCGGCTCAGAATGATATCATTCAGATCAGAAAACTGAAAACCTCAGGACTGGATAAATGAGAGCGGCTAAATGATGACTGCAGTTCGTGCTTCGATGCTAAACTTCGCTGGGAGAACGGTACTGCCACTGGCAGTATTACCTGAGTAATTAACATTTGCCAAAATCTATCGATGGACGGTACAAGATGATACGCTTGCTGTTTTGGAGAGAAAACACAAATATGAGCAACAGACAATAGGTTTAGAGCTGATGATACAGAAAATCTCAAATCCTGTGGAGCTAAAATTATCGAAACAAGGAGCTTCAATAAATTTATCTGTGGGCAAGTTAACATTAGCCTTAGAAAAACTTCAAAAAGCCTTGAGGAAAGAGGATTTTCCGTACACTATTGTGTGAAGCAATGAACAGATGGTACTATCCAATGGAATGGGAGAGTATGATAGCAAACAAGTGCCCCACAACGTGTACTCACAAAGAATGCACTGGGAAGAAATCGCATCGAAGAAAAACAAATTAAAAGTGCCCAGTTGACACACGGAAAGTAGTACCACTAAAAAATTCGAAAGACAGACTCATCAGTAGCTGTGGGAACACAAGAAGAAACGAACAATCAAAAAAGTTGGGACTTCAAACGGGTATCGTAACTGATTGGCCTAGGAATGCGAAACTCACTTCGGATACGACCTTTGAGCGAAAACGGGAGGGATGGATTGAAAAATGAAATAGATAACCTCGCAACACAAGGCGACTCGATGCCCTCAGATCCGCTGGATTTAACTGTACTTTGTAACAACAATACTCCAAATGGTAGTAACTTTGGAACGAATTAAAAATTATTGAGATGTTCGCAAATAACCTCGACTCAGAGGCCCACGCAGCAATCATTAACCAAAAGACAAGCTGTATGAATGACATTGTTGATGTCATAATAACAAAATAAACTGTTCTCTATCAAAGCCACTAAGTGAACTGAAAATTCACATGTCAAAAAGATATAGAATGAACCTGCACTTTCTGTAGAAATAACAAAGTGAAATACAGTGGTCAACATGGAGTAGTCTCGCATGATGAAGAGTCAGTGCTGTCGATTCACTTTCGTATTTGCCAAAAGCGAAAAGTGTGTGCGTAAAAAAACATTCAGGGCTGAATCAATCGTACTGTCACCCATACGAATGCCGGAGCAAGAGCATTTCCTTTCATTTACTTACAACTTCACTCCTACTCGATCTAAGGGCGACCTTCGACTGAACTGTACTTGGGAGCTACCTGATTTTCAAAGATGCATCTCGACGAGACTGCACCTTGATGTGGTGTGATGGCTTTCGCGCCTCCGTGAAGCTGTCAGTGAAACACAACGGCTCTTCACAACCGTGGATCCAATTATCTCCAAAAGATCCGTGGATAGAGGCCAGACAAAGCTCGATCTTACAAGTTCAGCTGCTTGAGTATTTTCTCGTTGCCCTGGACTATCTACTCTTGCCCCTAGAGAGATCACCCCAGAAGCAACCGATTGTAGTACACCTGAAATCAAGGATGAATTCCACAAGGATCTTTTTCAATCACTCATCGGACGTCGTAGTAGTCACCGGAGACTTTAATGCTCGGGCAAACCAGTAAGACTTCTTGGCGGACCACATGCAATCCCAGCTAACCGGACGGACAACGCAGATCGTTTACTCCAACTTTGCGCTGCACGTGGACTGTTTCTGTCAAGCACCAACTTCTCGCACAAGAAACGACACCGCTTTACATGAAAACCGCCAACCTCTTTGTTGAATACGCGCCTGCGGCTAAAGTGTGTACGTTCGCTAACCTGCGCATCGTTAATTTGCTCGTTCCACAGATGTTATCGATTGATATTTATTCAGATCGATCGACCTCATGCGCTTGTCCATGCCAAAACTGCCGGCCGACATGGGCCTGATCTTGATTGGCTATTCGTTCATTGAGCTCTGTTGCTCTGTTGGATGCTCGCAAAGCACTTCGTTCTGATGTCAAATAGGAAAAATTGCGCAAATCCCTTAAACGCCAGCTCATCAAGATCCTGAGGAATGACCGCGGGAAGTGGTGGACAGGGAAGCGTATTGATCGCAATCTTTTCTGTCTAGTTAGGAATACGGACTCAAGTAAAGTAGACTTAAGTAAAGAAATTAAGCAGTCTGACGGCACACTGATTATTATTTAGCAATGCCGTCTTGAAAGATGGGCAGAACATTTTAAGATAGTTCAGCTGGTCCGTAATGACACAAGACCTCACCTCCCGTTTCAACTAGGCAAATAGTACCAGTGGATATAAGTCCTTTACCTGAAATGGAGGATTCCCGGGAAACAACTTATCTCAAAAGGCATTATATATCTGGTCCGGATGTTTAGTCTCCACCGTTCTTCAAGGATGGACGTTCAGCGTAGGTTTCGGAGTTGAAACTCCTGTGCGCACTGGGAGAGGGAACAGATTCCAACTGAATAGTGGGACTTGGTCATCAAACAGATTTACAAGGAGGCATCCTTTTGTGAGAACCACGGAGGAATCAGTTTGATCAACATCGCTTCTCGCCGGGATCAAACTCCGTCGATTGTCTTTCTTTCTGTTTCTTCTTCGCTTTTATTTCCTTCTATGGAATGCAAAATGATTCAAATTTCAGGAATGGGGAAGTGGCAAATCAAAGGACTTCCATACAACAATGGGGAAAGTCAGGCGGTGGTGGTGGGATTCGAACACACGTCCTCCGGGGTGTTGATTTGGTGACATCACCATCGGGACACCCGCACCTGCCGCACGTTAAGAGTTCACGTGTGAGAATTGGGCTAGTTGACCTGGTTGAGGTAGTGTGATGGAAGATGGTACAGAGAGGGCCACGGCTAGCGAACGAATCAAGAATGGGGCCCATCCAACCAGGTGCGCAGACGTAACGGCTGGAAGTACTTCGCGAGACAATGTTGACTACCACCCGAAACGAACGAATCGACAATTACAGCCCCACAGGCAATTCGCAGCTAGCCAGAAAGATATCCACCGAATGCTACTACGTCGGAGCTGTCGATCGACGTATCTCCCGCTACGATCGGGTCAAACCAGTCGGAACGGCACGCGGAAGAAGAGGCGAGGTACGTGCCAAGTGCGGACCAAAACCAGCAGGGATTGACCAAAAGAAAGAGGCATGAATCATCCTGCAGCGCGGTTAAGAATTAAATGTATATAATTGAACGCGTACACCGGTTATTTTTGAATTGGATAATTAAACGTTTTCTCAGCCAGCTCGCCTTCTCGCTACAATAGTGCCGGCATCTTCACTCTTCGTCGAATTCTAGAGAACCGATATTCTTTTGCTAGACTCACCATTTCCATCTTCCTCGATATACAAGCGGTCTTCGATTCAGTTGACCGCTTTAAACTTTGACGTTAACTTTCCCGGAAGGCTGCGCTGGAGAAGTTTATGTCAATACTACAATCCCTTTATACTAATAGCCTAAGCCGAATCTGAGTTTACGGAGCATTTTAGACCGAGTTTACCACAGAAGGCAGAGTTCGTCAGAGTAACTCTCTTTTTCTCCTTTTCTATTCATATCGGTGTTCGAATGCCGCTGTCTACACCGCATTGGTTATGTGCAAAGTTTTAAGTAGTCAAGGTCGTCCACTGGAACAAGTGTTCGACACCCATAGACTACGCTGGTCTAGACATGTGTTGCGCATGTCACCGAATAGGTTGTCACGGCGCGCGATGTTTGCCCTGGCAGGCAGCGGATAGAATAAGTGCACGGGCGGTCAAACTAACACCTGGAATGAGGGTCCCGTTAGGCTCTCTGGATAGGGACCCCGGGATGAGACGTTTCGTACGCCAATTTATCGATACCTTTACCGTTGTTCGTAATAAACAACTCTCCTCGTCCAGGCACCATTTTGTGGATTTATAACATTATTAGTTATCTCAAAATAACTAGGGTGTTGCTGAGTCAAACTATAACAGGACAGCGTGAGTAGAGTTTTTTATTTTAGATGTTTTGGATACCTAATATACTCAATAACAATAAGGCAGTACGGTTCTGTACTTTCGAGGCTTGTGGTACAGAGATCATTCAACCACATCAATTACACTTGGCAGAAAATATAGTTCGGGATCATAACGAAGCGCATTCGAGGCTAAAGAGTAACCTTCACGAGTAAGGGCAACACGGCAATTAGTGAAACTAACGAAATAGAAGCACATGGTCATGCTAGATGAAGTCATAATCTTTACTGCGCGATCAAAGCACAATTCATTATCCTGCGGGACGCGTTCGCCAGGCATGCATCAGTTAACGGGAGAAAACATTCCTACTGTTGGTTACGAATAGGGAAAATGTTTCTTTACAGTCGCCGAATATGAAACAAAAATTGGCTGCTCCTTGATGATACATTGTTCGTGAGGGAGGTTATTTTCGAAAGAAGCAGCGCGTAAACATTAACTATACTCACCGGAATCTGAAGAGTCGATACCATGAGCAATAAATCCGTCACAACCATG